CACATGGACACAGGGAGGGGAGCACTACACACTGGGGTCCGTTGGGGGGAAATGGGGGAGGGGCGGGGGGTGGGGAGGTGGGAAGAGATAGCATGGGGAGAAATGACAGATACAGGTGAGGGGACGGAAGGCAGCAAAGCACACTGCCATGTGTGTACCTATGCAACAATCTTGCATGTTCATCACATGTACCCCAAAACCTAAAATGCAATTAAAAAAAACACACACACACACAAAAGAAATGTGGAAAGAAAACAAAAACTGAAACGTTTGTAAAATTGTTTTTAATTCTCAAATGAAGTCTTAGAAATCTTAAATGAGTAATTCTCATTCATTGTCAGCACTGTTAGTGTGGATTCAGTGTGTGTGTGTGTGTATGCATGTATGCGTTCATCTGTCTATAACCTATCCATCCATCTGTTTATTCAACCATTCATCCATCTGTCCATCTCTCTACCAGTGATCTATCATCTATCTGTTTATCCATCCACCCATCTGTCATCCTTTCATCTGTCCATAGGTCCGTCTGTACACCTACCTCTTATTTATCTATCATCTACATATATAGCCATCCACCCAACCATGCATCTGTTCATCTGTCTATCCGGCTGTCTGTTCAACATCCATCTGTGAGTCTGTGAGTCTGTTCATCTGTCATCTATCTGTCTGTCTATGTATGTATCTATCTGTTTCTGTTCATCTATCCATGCATCCATCTATCCATCCATTCATCCATCTATCCAGTCATTCAGCCATCTATCCATGCATCTGTTTATCTTTTTATCTGTCTATCTGCTATCTGTCCGTCCGTCTATGTATTCTTCTATCTTTCCATCTTTCAAATTCTCCTTTAAACCTATGTTAACCTTATTCATTCCTTACTAATTAGGGATTTGTACAAAACTCTTGAAATGTGTTCATTGTTTGTTTGCATGAGAGCAATGAGTTCGACTTTATAAAATTATGCTTTACCAGGGAAGAATTCATGTGTCCCATGCACCCTTCTCCTCATTCACCTCTTACCCACCTCCTTTTTGTGCTTGGTTTATAAACTCAAAGCTTCCTGGGTTTCTGCTGGCCTCGGGCATTCTCACTTGCCACAGTTGGTGATTCTTTCTCAAGAATCTACACAGGATGGGAGAGGGTTCTGTGGGCCCAGACCCCAGTGCACTCTTTCGGACACTCTGGATGTTTATTCATCCTCCACTTCCCAGGAGCCAAGCACAGGTCTGGTTTTTTTCTAATCTGCTTTCTCGTTAGCTAAAGCTAATACGTGACACAAGAGGATTCTCTGTTCGCTGACCTTGAAACCGCCAGGCCTTTCTTCAGGTTGGTGCAAAAGTCATTGTGGAACTGTGGTTACTTTTGCACCCATCTTCCCTGCTGCCCTCTCTCACATGGCTTCACCCCAAGCTGCTGTGATGCTGGAGCCCTTCTCAGAGGCCCTGGCATCGCCTGAATTCAGGTCTCACCCCCGTGTCTCCCTCCTGTCTGCTGTTGCACTGCTCATGCTTTGGGAGGGGACACAACCTTCCTCCTTCGCAGTGTGTCCTCAGCTCAGCAGAGGATGATTACCTCTATGCTCTGAATTCCCTTGGGGTGTTACCTATTGTATTCTTAGCGAGGCTACTTTAAAATTGAAGACCTAAAATTCCTTCTCAACAAAGCCCAGCCCCTAGAAACCAAAAGTCCTTTGACTTACCAGTGATTGCTCAGCATTAGTATTTTTTTCATGTCTAATTAGAGCTCAAAAATCAAGAGGTTAACAATTTTTAGATTCCTCTGTGTTCTCCTTTATCTAAGGCAACAAAGTTTAGCTTTCTAATGTAGATGGGAGATAGAAGAAGATGCAGGATTTAAAATACATTTAAAAGTAAACATGGCCAGGCGCAGTGGCTCATGCCTGTAATCCCAGCACTTCGGGAAGCCGAGGTGGGTGGATCACAAGGTCAGGAGTTTAAGACCAGCCTGGCCAACATGGTGAAACTCCCCTCTCTACTAAAAAAATAATAGTAATACGAAAATTAGCTGGGCATGGTGGTGCATGCCTGTAATCCCAGCTACTCAGTAGCTCAGGAGGCTGAGGCAGGAGAATCTCTTGAACCGGGACTGGGAGGCTGAGATTGCAGTGATCGGAGGTTGTGCCACTGCACTCCAGCCGGGGCTACAAAGTGAGACTCAGTCTGAAACAAACAAACAGTAAAAAGGGTGTGTTTCCAAAACACTTTCCCACAAAAACGCAGAAGGCAGGAGTGCCCTGTGCTCCCCTCTGCTTCTGTGCCCACCGCCTCATTTGTACTGAAAGGGGTAGAAACTCCCCTCTTTTCAGAGATGACACGAGGGGGTGTCCTAGACAAAGCCACTTTCCTCCCTCCTGCAGGGACTTTGTTCTGAGTGGTTCCATTCCCTGTGCTGTTCTTCTCTTTATTGAATCAGTTCTAGTCATTCACACATGCTTGAAAATATCTCTTTCTAAAACACAAAGTACACGAATCCCTGTTGTCTCTCCCCTCCTCTCAGAGTTTGGCATTTCTGTTTTTCCAGAGAGATGGGCTGGAGCCTTCACCCTGTGGCCTGTCTTTCCCTGGCCTTCCGGATATTCGGTCCATCGGGCATCTCACGGGATCACTTCTCACTTCTGGTGCCTCTTCCTTGCTCCCAGCCACCACCCTCCACCCCGCAGTCACTGGGCCCCATCTCCTCCCTGAAATCCTCCACTGCCGCCCTGGTCTCTGTTCTCCCCACTCAGACACGATTTCTCTCCTGTTGCCCCTCACTTTTGCCTGCTACGTGCTGCATTGGTGAAAAGTTGCGGCTTTCCACCACATCATAGCAGCGGGGACTCCTTTGGCTACTGCTGTCTGAACTCAGAGTTGCCTTGCGTACCTGCCATCCTGGGGAAGGTGCCACCCTCCCTCACCCGGCGGTCAGGTTCAGGCAGCTTCCCTGATCCTTATCTCCTCAGAAAATGCAAGCTTAATGTGTTCAGAGAAAGCATTTTTGAATCTCCTGAATTTGGTATATTTTGCTTATCATTTTAGAACAAGGTCCGATATTCACTGAAATAATATTTGCATGGCTGATAATTCTAATAAAGATAAAAAGTCTTATTTAAATAAGTAAATAAATAAGCTTCACTATGACACTCAAAAGTCAAACAAAAATAGGGCTAGCTTGTCTTCTCTATGAAAGACATAATCTTCAATGAGCTATTAACCGGAAAATACATTTTTGACTCACTTTTCAGGTATACATGCTATATGTTAAATGCTGTTTTTAATAGTTATAGTTAAATCCACATTTTGTACAAATGAATTCTTTAGATTTTATTGCAATCGAAACATGTTTAAGTGTATGTTTATATTTATGCATTTAATTCACCATGTAGCTGTAACACAAAGATGAGAAAAACCAACTCTTGAAAAATCTCATTTTAAGGTCACATAACCTACCCAAGACAACAATGTTCAGGTTTAAAACAATTAAAGGGATTTATCCCCAGGGCTGACAATGTAGCTTCGAGCTAACGCTAAGGAGCATGACAGCAGCTGTGAAATCCTGGAATTTCTCCCTTCTCCTCTATGACACCTTGATAAGGCAATTATAGCATAATTACCTTAACAAGTGGCATTACAGGAAATTATTGTCATTCTCCTGTTAAAATAACACGTAATCATCGGCAAGTGAATTCTAGAATCCCCAATCAGCATCTCATTACCTGCAGTTGGCTCTGAAATGAGCGCAATTGGTGGGCAAAATCCCACAAGGTATTTGAAGGGGAAAAATCAGGAAGAGGACTGTTTGAAAAATCCACGGGAATACAACCAACTTAACCCCCAATGATCACGTTTGCAGTTAAATATCAACATTTACTGGTAGTTAGAAACCTCTGCAAACCTGACATCACCTTTGTTTTCCATAAATATGTTTACTTCCCTTTCCTGCCATCTTGATTTTTTTCCAAGACAGTGACATTCCTCTATGAAGCAGCAAACGGTGAAGCTATATCCTATAAATGACAACACTCTCAACCACATGTCACTCCAGTACAAACATTCATTTAAGCCATTCACTTCTTGATGTAATAATTTACTTCCAAGTGCAGTTCTGTGTTAACAACAACAGAGACGATCTTAAAATAGATCTGTACAAAGCTTTTCTTGTCCCTTAAGGCCTAACTTTCCATCCAGGATCTTAAAGCAGTGTGACTGAAAGAAAAGCACAAAGAGCCATCGTGAGAAGATTCAAAGTTTCTTTAAGGTCAAAGAATATGGGACTTCATGAGGATGGCTGCATATATCAGCAGGTACCCACCATGCTCTTGTGGGGGAGGGGTAGCTCTCGGGTCCCCCCAGTCTCCCAAGAGGAACAGTCTTTGACAATATAAGGCATATATATATGTACACATATATATATATATAATTATTATTGTATTTTAAGTTCTAGGGTACATGTGCAGATCATGCAGGATCGTTACGTAGGTATACACATGCTGTGGTGGTTTGCTGCATCCATCCCCCTAACGTAGAAATACTCTATATTAGGTATTTCTTCCAACGTTATCCCTCCCCAAGCCTGAGACCCCCTGCTAACCCTCCCGTAGACCTCCCACGCCCCCAGCAGACCCCGGGGTTTTTTACTTTTTTAAAAATTTCCATCGGTTTTTAGGGAACAGGTAGGTGGTATTCGGTTAGGAGTGGGGCCAGTGTGTGAGTGAGAGCAGGAGCATTTACGAAAATAAAACGTCATTTTTCCTGGAAAAAAAAGTTAAGTTCTTTTTTGAACAAGTTCCTTAGCGGTGATTTGTAAGATCTTGGCGCACCCTCTCCTGAGCAGTACACACTGAGTCCAGATTTTCTTCTGTTTTCATCATTTTATATGAAACCATTCTTCTTCTTCTTCCAGTGTGCTCAGGGAAACTGAGAGATGAAACACCCCTGACTTGGGCGTAAAGCTAGGTTGTTAATTTTATATCATTCTTTTTTTTCTTTTTAAATAAAATAAATACAAAATACTTCACGAATTTGCATGTCATCCTTGCACAGGGACCAGGCTAGTCTCTTTATTTTTCCAGTCTTTGTATATGTGCTGAGGAAGTGAACATGACATTGTTCTTTTTTAGTGTAAGCATTTATAGCTATAAATTTCACTGAGTACCACTGTCACACCATCTCATAAATGCTGGTATCTTGCATTTTATTGTAATTCATCTCAAAGTATTTCAGTTTCTCTAGTCATTTCTTTTTTGAGCCACTGGTTGTTTAAGAATGCAGGAAAACTAACCCTCGGGGGGAGAGAACAATTTGAGGTGGGGGAGAGAAGAGGCTCACGAATAAATGACTTCCCTTTGCCTCCCCAGGTGGACTTCCTGAAGCTCACAGTTCATACGACCCTCTGCAGAGGCACTCACCAGGCTGGGCTGTGACTGTCACGAAGCTCTGGCCAGCAGAGGATGCACCTTTCTGTCTGCCCTCCCACCTCCCGCTCTGCCCTCCCTTACCCCCTCCTCTGTCTTTCTGGGTTTGCACTCCCCACTGGAATGTTAGCAAGGGAAGTTTTCGCTTCCAGCTCTATTTTATTGAGACTCCAATGTGAAACAGTCAGATTTTTTAAAGTTGTATTCTTAAGAAAAATATACGATCCTTTGAAAAATTATATACATTTCTCAAAACTCGTTAAGTGGCATATTGAAGACTGTAATTCAGAATTTCTAAAGTTGTTTCCATAATATGGGCACTTTGAAAAGAAATATGAATCACTGAAGCACTTTATTAGTGCATTGTTATCCCTGATGAGCCAGTATTTACCATATAATTATTTACACCTTTGCTAATAATATGGGAACTAATAAAAATCTTCGTGTGGGCAGAGTAATTGCACTGGGTCACCTCGAGTATTATGTGACTGGTGGCCTCCAGCAGCTGTTCATTTTATCTGATTTGTATCATTTCTACTGATGTCAGTTACATTTCATCAAAGCATAGTAATTATGTAACATAGCAAAGTAAATTCTGCAGAATATTATAAAGTGATAATCACAGGCCTAGTGAACATACAAATCAGATACTAGTCCTCTATATTCATGGCGTAATAAATAAATATCTGGAGACTATTCTATATAAGAAATAGAACTAAAACACTGGCAAATATTAAACATGATCTATAAAAAATGGAAAAGATTTTATGATATTGCTAACTTAAAGATTAAGTTGTTCTATTTATCAACACAATATAATTAGATTTTATCATTTACTTATTCAGAATGTATATAGAAAATGTTGTTCTTAGGCTTGGTTTAAAATGATCAACATGATTGTGCATGTACTTTTAATTCTTATTCTTCCTTTGCCAACTGCCATATGTTTCTGGAAGTCACCAATTAGGATGTAGTTTAGCAAAATAAAATCTGCTATTGATGAAACATATCACATATTTAAGATTTAATTTTTGTGACTTTATTGGCAGAAACATTTGTTCCTGCTAATATAGAAGATTTTTCTTTCATACATATACCATCAGTTTTTCACTGCATTTTTTAACTGGGTTGTTCTTTAATGCCTCCCTCATATTTTGGCAGTATAGTGAAATAGAAAATGAAAATATATAAAACATCATCCGAAATTTTTAAGTATGATCTTTATTTAGAAAACCAAGAATCCCATGAAATATAGAACTACATTACATTGTTCAGCAGAAAACAGGTTATAAATCTTCACATTAGTGAGCACCTAATTGCCAACTCAAGAAACAAACGACAAGTACAATCTCTCTTCCTCCAATTTGCCTTACTTCTTTATTTAACCTTCGTGAGATGATGACTACTTTGCAAAACAATAGCAATAAACCTAAAAGTTTTTTTAAATATTTTGAATTCTGGGAGTGTTTCATGTTCACGTTGGTATTTTTAAGTCAGTTTACCCATTAACTCTAACATGACACCAAGAGTATGTGCTCTTATGTCAAGTCATAATGTTGCATGCCTTGAACACAGACAACTATTCCCATCAAAACGACTGCCTTAATCTCAGCAGAAGTGATGGAATTTGAAGAGGAAACAAAAGCCTTAATTGTGGCCAGGTGCGGTGGCTCAAGCCTGTAATCCCAGCACTTTGGGAGGCCGAGGCGTGTGGATCACGAGGTCAAGAGATCGAGACCATCCTGGTCAACATGGTGAAACCCCGTCTCTACTAAAAATACAAAACATTAGCTGGGCGTGGTGGCGCGTGCCTGTAATTCCAGCTACTCAGGAGACTGAGGCAGGAGAATTGCCTGAACCCAGGAGGCGGAGGTTGCGGTGAGCCGAGATCGCACCATTGTACTCCAGCCTGGGTAACCAGAGCGAAACTCCATCTCAAAAAAAAAAAAAAAGCCTTAGTTGTATATTTTTCCAAAGCCTCAAGAAGCACTCACCTATTTGTATTTATATATGAACATGGGAATTTTACCAGTGTTTTCTTAATTTAAATTTTCCACTAAAAAGAAATTTATTTTAGCTCTACCCTGAGTGACAGCTATGACCATGTCACCTTCTCATTCAAATGCTTTCACAGTTTTTCTTTTCCTGCAGATTATTGCCCAAGTTTCAGATTGTCATTTTTCAACTGACAGACGTACCATGACCCTACCTACTATTGTGACCTTGTTTCCATTTTTTCCTTCCTTTCACAAAGTTATAGCAGAACTGAAGTACCTTTTCTACTATTTCTACTATTTCTACTAAAAAGACTATTTCTACTAAAAAGAAAAGTACCTATTTCTACTAAAAAGACTCCTCATCCCTGAGTTGACATCTGAAATATTTAACAGGAGATGATGGTTAGGGAACCACCAGTCAAAACAGGCATTCTACCCAACCAGAATGACATACTCTGTGAAATATTAATACAGCTGTACCTATTCTGGGTCTCTAGAGGATATTTTTCTTATTTTTATATTATATTATAATTATTATTGTTTTAATTTAATACCACAAATTACCCTTAAACTCCTTGAAGAAAGATTTGACACATACTTTATCTTGTAAAATGTAATATTCCTGAAATATTTTTTAAAATAAAGAATTAAAAAAGGAAAAAAATAAGACAAAGTTAAAAAAAAGTTTTACAGAAATATTTATTGAATAAATAGACTAAGACACAGTTAGGAAATGGGATTTACAGTTGAGGTTTTGATGGAAATTTCCATTTAAAAAGGAGTGGCAGAATCAGGTCTAATGACACAGTCAAGTTGTATTCTAATAGTACTAATTGAAGAGAAAGTTAACAATTTACTTGGTATTTTGTGGATAAACAGCCTAGAAATGTTTTGTTATTATGTATGAAATTCAAGTGAAGAAATATATCAGAATTTCTGAGCTAGTAATTTGGCACACAAGCACTGAAATGGCCTAAACTTGTAACCATGTATGTTCCCTCCAAGAACGCTTTTACTTAGTCATAAATTTGATGTCTAAATCTTCTAATTAAGTGCTCAACTTTAAATGTATGAAAATGCAACGGAACAGGCATTTCCAAAAAACTCAAATTATATCAGACAGAAAAATAGTACATCTATCTTCTTCAACCCTTTCCAAGATACAACCAAAGAGAGTATCTCTGTCCGGAGTTCAAATAATGAAGCTATTATCCATTTCTACCCTCAGGACATGCTAAGACGCTAAAAGGGTCACAGAATGAATCAGTTCTACAGGAAAATACAGAACATTTCTCTCCGCTTTATACAGAGAGCAAATGAGATAAAATTTTGTATCTACTCATGGAATCTCCTTATAAATTATAAGAAAATAAACTGGAGAATTCGCTTTAATCCATAGAAGGCCAAGAACCCTTGCATTCACGTTTACATGTTCTTTTCCTCCTATTTTGGTAGGTCCAGGGAGAAAATGTACTCAAAAAAGAGGTTGAGAAAAGCAGAATTTGTGTTGATATTCACTCCAATACATTCCTCTTCTGCTGTCCTTTCTCTCTCTTCACTGCTGAAGATCCAAAAATCTTTTCTTTCTTCAACTAAGAGGGAAAATAATGGCCAAGTCAATCCTGGAAAAAATTGTACTGGAAAAAAGAAAGAAAGGAAAGAAACACAATGGCAAGAAATGTAGCATCTGGTTGCCGAAATTTCCGAATTTCTATCTTCACCTCATCAATTTTCTTCCCGTGAAAATAGAGTAGGCTGCAATTAATGAACTGGCCTCTCACGACACAATTAGATATTTGTTTTGCAGGGCAAACTAGTGCACCCGTGGTCACTGGTCCAGGACTCCAGAAAGACAGCAACTCACTCTCAGCAGTGCAAACTGAGCCAGCCTGTGATCTGCAGCTGGTGCAAATGAGGTGATTTTCAGGGTGAGGATGTGACGGGTTTTTGGGGGGAGAAACATCTCAGTTCTTCAGATGAGTGAACAAATAAACCAAACCTTTCTAAAATATTTCCAACTTTGATCCACTTACACTTTAATGCATTCAGAATAACTCTGCTTGTTCAATAATGCTTGCTGACTTGCTGATGGAGGTGTTCTAAGACCTTCAATTATATTTTCACTGCCTGCTTCTTTTACTTTTGATAGCCATATAATCATAGTCACAAATAGGAGAAAGGTCTGAACAAAATGCATATGCATGCCAAGCACTTTGCAAGGCTTAAATTATGCGTTCTTCACAGTTTAAAAACAAATAAGGAAATAAATGCATTAGCATTGCAGAGTAGAAATGCATATGAATGCAATTGAGGGTAATTCTCAAAAAGACCTAAGGGAAATTGGTGAAATTTTAATTTTAGTATCCAGAACAAGGACTGCACGGTGGGTTGAGGAAGCCTGTTATTAACTTTGTCTTTTCAATTTTTCACACATGAGAAGGAGAAGCTGTGAAGAATCTCCCTTGCCCTCTTCCGGAGTAGGGTAAGCTCCTTTTTCTTGACGATTAAGCACTGTAATTATAGACTTTCCCCACACCTGTTCCTATATTCCTGGACTCCAGGGCTCACATCACTATCAGTCTTTCCTGGTGGGTGGAGAAGAATATTTGACACCTCCTATTTTACAAATTCGAAGTGTTTAAAATGTGATCAAATAAACTATGGTATTAAATTAAAGAACTCCTGGGCT